CATGCCTCAGTGATGTGTCTGTCTTAGTAATTAGTATTTCTGCCAACTGCTCTTGTACCCTCTGGAAACAGAATGCAGTAATTGAACTGCAATCAATCAAATCACAATCAAATTCTGAGGGAGCTCCTCATGGCAGCACGGCCCAAGAAAGACACCACAATACATTAGCTAGCTAACTATATGCAACTGGATCATCGGCTTAAAATACAACTAAGCATAGTTTTGATGTTAAAAAAATGCCATCCATTTGTCCTGGAAGCCTATTTACACACAGAGCTCATTCAGTGAACTAGCACACTAAAATGTTAAACTGGGTAAAATGCGGCAGCCTGAAGAGCTAACCTATTCATTTATTATTACGTCACTTATTTTTAGCTATTATGTACCATATATTTTTTCTGTAGTTGTAATTCAGCTCTGGGTGAACAGTACCTCAGTGTGTTAGAACACTGCCAAACATTTACTGTCACAACTCTAAACATTTACAGGCCACATTAATTAAAAATTAATCCATTATTAGTAGTCGATTAATTCACATGGACAATCGAAGACATATTTGGGTTTGGGCACTAATTGACAGTCATGATGGCGAATACTATCAGTGATACACAATATTATGGCCAATCAGCTCAAGCCTAGTAAGAAGATACATCTAAGTACTCAGCCCACTGCTCTCTTCTTACCTCTCTAATAAAGGACATAAGACACTGGATGACATCAAACTTCTTCAAGTAAAACAGATCATGCTGTTAGGGTCTCATGGTAGCTCCCTCCAAACCATCCATTACTTCAGAATCGCATTTGACTCCACACTCTCCTTCCAGTCATATTTAAATACCATAAGCCATGTTTTCAATGTCACCTGCCTCCATTCCCCTTTGAGCTTTTATGATGCAGAAATACTAGTCTGGTCTTGTGGTCTTGTCTACATCACATCTTGACACATCTATTGCAATTCCCTCAAAGCCTTCAACTAACCGTAATACAGCCAAATCTCTGCTGCCCAGTCACATACCAGAGAATCTGCTCATATCTCCCCCTTTCAACCACTTCACTGGCATCCAGTAACAGCCTCTACCCAGTTCAGCTCTAATTTTCACATTTAAAGCATTCCATGAACTTTCCCCTTCCACCTCCTCTGACCTTCTCCTCCCTCACACACCAACCCATTCAGTCCACTAATACAGGCCTTCTTAGAAATCCCCCTAATAAAGCTCTCTAAAGCTGAAGAGATCTTTCAGTGCCACTACTCCAGAAAGCTGGAATGTACAACCTCCAAGGCTGTAGAGGCCCTGCCCTTTTTAAGTCAAACTTAAGACACACATGTTTATTTCACGCTTCCTCTCCTATAAAAGCCTATAAAATCCCCTGTTTTCTGTGCCCTCATCCTTATGGTCTAGACATGTTTTTTCTTATAAGCATGATGAACCCTGAAGAAACTGTCTCAATAACTGAGATATGGTGTTACAGTAGCTAAACCTGAGAGCCTATTCCTGTTCCAAGGAGTATGATAATGGATGTGAGCCACTGTGGCACTGAAAAGAAAAAGGAAAGAAGAAATGGGATAGCATTTCAAGCAGGTGTTATTTAGTGGGGAAATCTGAGCACTTGGCAATTTCCTGATGAATTCTACACAATGAGGGTACCAAACAATGGGGAAAAACAAGCTTTTGCCTGCAATCTGACCCTGAATTACAGAGAAAAAGCTCTATCCTATCAAATCCTGAATTGAGCAGTAGACCTGTCAAGATCATGAAATTTTAGCTGATGACTGATTGCCATACAAATTGCTGCAATGAACAATTTCATTGTCTTTTTTTGAAAGCTGTCTCCAGCTGAAAACGGAGACAGCTTAAGCTCAAATAAACAAACATTACTCATCGTTACCCTCTAAACGAGCTACAGCACCACATTAGAAGTCAAAACAATCCAACAAATGCGTTTAATGCTCTTTAGTTAACATTTTGCCTCAATCCTGTTTGTTGTGCCATAAACATACAATTATGGAACCACATAACTGTATAAAATTAAGCTTAAGTCATTGAGATCAGGTGATTATGTAATAATTGTGACAGGCCTATGGAGGAGCTTTCACTCTGTTCTGGCTGAAACTCGGGTTATTCGTCAAGTACAATGCCACAAAAGTATGTCACGTGCTAAAGATTAATCCAAGAGGCTGGCTTCTTATTCAGACCTGTCCATTCCACCTTAAATGGTGCATAAGTTACATTCTGCTGAATTTAGATGGTGCACTTTAAATGGGAATTCCACTGATTTTCCAACATTTCTGCAAAATTAAGCGGTTAAGATGTAAAGAGTTGTTCAGGGTGGTTTCATGCAAAATGCACTGTTCTAGAGAAAACTGTGAGTCAGAATTATTCCCAGACAGGTGCACCAGGTTTTTTGGATAGTAAAGTGATATTATTAGACCAATAAAGTGGCTATATTTGAATGTGCTGTGTATGGTGCTATACAGAAGCTTTTTGAAAATGGTTCTATATATCACCAAAAAAGGGGTTTAGCTATTATTATGATGTCAACCTTGTAATAATAGAAGAACCCTTTTTGGTGCTATTAAGAACAATTTTCAAAAAAGTTCAAACAGAACACATTAGAACACATCTACAACACACTCACCATCAATCCGAAGAACATTTTACCATGTAAAGAACTATTTAAGCATGAAATGATTCTATATAGAACTCATGATTCTAAATAGAACCACTGGTATTACTAAAGAACCCTTGAAGAATCTTCTTTACTAAGTGTGTACTTACAGCCGCTCTGCTGTGGCTCTATCTCTTGATTGTCAGAACATCTAGATTAATGACATTCAGGAGCGAGGCATAAAATAACAGACTATCACAAAATCTGGAATCAGAAGGTGGGTTTTGGGTTTATTTGAAATAACTTTAATTCTTAATTTTCAAAATGTCTCAAAGTCTGCCAGTCATATTTAAAGGACAGTATAACAGAGTGTCAAAATCCTGGAGAGGAAAACACCTCACTGTAGAATTATTTCATTGTGTCCCTGTAAACATAATATACGAGACCTGAACCTGATGACTTATGTGGTCATTCAGCCACAAACATCAGTTTAGCTTGTACAGTACAGTAGAGTCTCAGTAGATGGGTGTTTTATTCTGAAATTGATTCTGACCACCAGGCTCAAGACACAATATATATACTGAAAAACAGACATATTACTGTAAACACTGCAGTGTGGGACTCCTTTAAAATTGTGACCCTTTCATTCAAATGTGTACACAGCATTTTATACAGATAAGAGATTCTCGCCACTCAAAGGGGAATTCCACCATTTTTTCAAATATTCCACATAATTAAATGATGAGATGTAAGCAAAGTCATTTAAAGTGGTTTGATACGACAGTCTCCGTCCTAAAGAAACTTGCAGAGGCAGTATTGTTCCCAGTGGTGGTGATAGGAACCAGACGTCTGAAGAGTTTAATGCCTCTAAAAACTCCCTGATAGGAATTTATTACATGAAATGGTTAGATATATGCTGCCTGATGCCTGACATACTGTTTTATGATAGTTTTGTGAAAAAGTATTGGATTTTAATCCAGTTATTTAATCCAGACATGGCGGAGGGGTACATGCAGGGCGTTGTTAGGCAAGAAAGTCCCCAAAGAAAACTCATTTTTTCAGATTTATGACTATTTTACCATCATCAACAGTACATATAAAACTCAGGAATGTTCACTGGTGGTTTTGGACAGTAAATAAAACGGCTATATTTGTGTTGTTGACATTATGACCTCTGGTTCCTATCACCACCACTGTAAAGAAATGAGAGTGTATGTTTCTCTACAGCGAACCATTTCACACCAAATCACAAACAAATGACCCTTTTTACAACCCAAAGGCTGAATTATTCAGATTTTGAGAAATGGTGGAATTCTCCTTTAAAATCTTTTGGGACTATATTGTCTTAGAACTCCATGTACCCCTCCGCTGTGAATGGATTTGGAAAAAAAAAAATATATATACGTTTTAGACCAAGACCTTCTCAAAACTGTTGGAGAGCAACGTCACAGGCATCAGGCAGTGGATTCATAACAATCTCATGTAATAACTGTCTGTGAGGAAGGTTTTAGAGGTGGACGTCTGGTTCCTATCACCACCACTGTGAACAATTCTCTAGTTTATCTGAAACACAGCAATTCACACTATCAGTCTGACTGTTTCTTATCCATCTAATTACGTACACATTTTGAAAAACTAATTTATTCGCATTTAAAACGCGCCATCTGCCGGCGCTAGTATGTAACTGCTGCACCATTTAAGGTGGAACGGAAAATTCTATTAAGAAGCTTCAGTCTTGGGGTGAATAGGTACAACAGGCATAAAAGAAAGATGTTTGTTCTATGTTCTAACCAGAGGACTGTGGAAATCTTTGTTGTTGCTAATGGTGAGCTAACGATAAGGCTAACCGTGTACGTGTGCTTACAGGTACCCACAGGTATGTGCTAACCAGAGGATTGTGGAAATTTTTGGTGTTGCTAATAACGATAAGGCTAATCGCTTTAACCAGGTCAACGTCCATTATTGACAGTTTTGCGAATTTCACAGGCCTCGTAACTGTCCACCACACACACTGTCAGACACTTTCTGAAGTGAGTTAGGCTCCTCATGTCCTTCAGTATGATAGAGTGGAGTAACTGCACACAGACAGCAGTTTCTATAGGACTCACCACAACTGAATGTGAGTGACGGTTATAATTACCTGAAGCAGGAAAATTAGCGTTAGCGACACTCACTAGCTCACTATACATTTAACGCACTTTTCGGTTGATCCTTTGCCCTCATATTCTTTCTATTAATGAATGGTCAGTCTCTGTCTTTCCAGAGTAGCCCGTGTTTGCGGTGGAGGAGAAAGACAAACTAAGTCAGGCGAGACTTTGACCGCTTTATTGCACAGAAACTGCTTCTGCTCTCATTTACTGTCGTAGTGTCGTTATGAATGAGACGAAACTCACCCCAGCTATGATTTTCATTTTACTGGACGTCCCGTTTTTAGCGGCGTTGCTGTGTTTCTGTGTCCGTCCCGCCCCGAGCAGAGTGGCTGCCTGCCCGGGTGCCCGCTCATCTCCCTCGACCACTTCCATCGTTATTCACTGTCTACAGCTGTTGTACAGAGCGCAACCCTTCTGCCTCTGAAGTGAACACTTTCAGGCTCTGTCAGTGTCAAGTTTTAGGGACCACCCTCTTTTTTTCATGACGTCTCCAGGCTACATTAGAGGGTGCGATTTCAACTCACAGCCCCCGCAGCTTAAAGCTTTGAACAGTTCCAGCGTGATTCTGAGCTGACTGGGCAGCGCTTATTAGATTTGATCTATCGTTTGGCTCTTTTGTTCTAAGTATGCTTTTTTAAATGGTAGAAGAAACATAGTAATCTCGTAATGGAAAGTACAGAATGATGAACATCTAAAATAAATGCCTGTTGCCTCATACGTCGATAAAAATATTCATTTCTTTGCTGCACTGCAAGGGAGCCACTGACATGGCGCCCCCTTGTGATCGTGCAGTTAATCTGTTTTACAGTCTAGCAGTGTGACAGTACAGTGTAAAAATGGTATCTTGGCAAGTGAAAGTGAAATCTTAAATCTAGCCAACATATCTAATATTCCTCATGTTGAGCTTCATGTTGTTATCATGAGAATATTTCACTTATTTCGAGACATAATTTACTTCTTTTACATCATTTTTTTCAAGTTAGCTCACTATATTAGCAGATCATTTTGCTTATTTTAAGAAATATGCTTGAAACAAGTATAATTAAATGCCGATATAGTGGGATAATTTTACTTGATAAAATTACTTGAAAAATTTGTTAAATAATCGGAATAATGCAGAAGGGGATTTTATTTTGAAATTTGTTTTGTGCTTTATTTTGCTTTTCTCATATAGCCATGACCTAATAAATGAACGAACCTGTATGTAGGCCTATTTTGCCTTACTAAGCCATGTTCAATTTTGCTTTTATCTGTTTCTGGTAACATTTTATTGATTTTACAACATTTTAGACAAAATGGTGTAAAATTCTGAGACAAGTATGTAAGATATATTACAAGATATACAAGAACAATATATACATACATACATCATCTAAACCGCTTATCGTTCTGGGTCGTGGTGGGGTGCTGGAGCCTATCTCAGCTGTCATTGGGCGGAAGGCAGGATACACCCTGGACAGGTCACCAGTCCATCGCAGGGCAGACAGACAGACATACACATTCACACACACATACTCACACCTAGGGGCAATTGGCCTGACTGCATGTTTTTGGACTATGGGAGGAAACCGGAGTTCCCGGAGGAAACCCACACAGACACGGGGAGAACATGCAAACTCCACACAGAAACGAACCCAGGCCCTTCTTACTGTGAGGCGACAGCACTACCCACTGCGCCACGTTGCCGCCCCTAAGAACAATATATATTACAAATATTCTTTGGGTTTACATGTGTGATGTCACAGCTACAGGACACTGTAGGAGAAGTGCTGCTATTTAATCTAACTTAGTGCTGACATTTTTAACTCTGGTAATGTTATTTACTTAAATATGATCAATGATATGATCTGTTACTACAATAACATCACTAATAAGCCTCTTGAACAGAGGTCCACAGCTCCAGTCCTGGAGGGCCGATGTCCAGCACAGCTTGGTGATCATTTTTATGGCCAAAAGCAACTGATTCAACTCATCTGTTAATTGCCAGGGTTAGTAGGGGTGTGTGATGATGACCACTCACAAAAAGTACCACAGGGTGTTTGAGTAGATCCCTTACCATACTCTGCTGGACACCAGCCCTCCAGGATGGGAGTTGTGCACCCCTGCCCTAGAATCTGATGTTCATGTCTACCTGCTAAATTCTTTATTCACAAACAAGCTTTCTCAAACTCTCAAGCAATGCTGTGTCTCTTTTTCACTGAGTTTAAATACATTCTCTGATGCTTTATGAATTATTATAATCAGCTTGTGTTTACTATGCACTTAAGACATTTGTATTTGAGATCACAAGATGAATATGAGACTAGGGATGGGCAATATGATGATATTTTATGTGGATACTGTGAATACTTAAAGAACACTGACTAACTACGTTTCATTACAAAGGGAGCATAATTAGGCCTGTTTAATTGGATTTAGTGCAGTCTAGTTTGTAAAACATTGAATAAAACATTGCAGTTATAGATTTATTCATACTATATAGGATTTTATAGGATATTATAGGATTTTATATGTGGCAGTACAGATTCTATTTTGTCTGTTCCGAATGACTAGCTCTCAGACAAACAAAACATTATGATCATGAAAATGTCTTGAAATATCATGACATAATATTTTTGCCATATTGCCCACCCCATATGAGAAGATCAGAATTTCAGCTTTTATTTCCTGATATTTACATCTAGATAATGAATGTAGAGCGTGGCATCTGCCTATGTGGTTAGACCCACTCATATTTCAAATGAGCAAAAAACCTGGAACGTGTCACTGACAGGTATTTCTTGTTGCCCAGGTGTGCCCTGTTAGATGGATTGTTACAATTAATAGCTCTGAATATCTACTCTTGATTGGAGCCCTAGATTTCTGCATTTGTTTTGCAGTCAATAGTTTGGAGTGTCCTTAAAAGGTAAGAAAACACTAACAACCAGACATCAGACAGTTGGGCCATGGAAAACAACAGCAGTTGATGGCAGAAACACTGTGTAAAACATTAGTCATTGACATCACCAACAGGACATGAGTGAAGGTAACACACTCTACTGTTTGAAGAAAACTTCAAGAGTAGAAATATAGAAGCCATGCTGCAAGATGCAAACTGCTCATCAGCAGCAAGAAAGCCAGACTGATGGTAGCAATGAAAAATACAGAGATCTACTCATATTCATCTTTCAATTTCAAACCCAAATGTCTTCAGTGTATAGCAAAAAAAATAAATAAATAAATAAAAAGAACTGGCCTTGTCATTCCCGTACTTACGGATGAGATTGTATGCATTAAATTTGTGGACGTACACTTAAAAAAACCCCATAAAAAACATAAACTGTACTGGCAAAAAAATTACCTGTACATTTTCTGTAAAATTAACAGATAATTCTGTCACTCATTTAATGGCAAAATTCTGTTAAATTACCTTACATATTCTGTGTATATACAGGACAATTTGTATACTTCTTATATGGAACATTCCATAATTTTACAGTTTTATCCATAACAAATAGGTTTTCTTCAACTCAAAAGAAAAAAAAAATCTGTATCCTCCCCTAGAACCCAAGAATATATCACTTGGATGATATCAACAATTATTGATAACCCACAGGTTTAGTGATATCAACAAAAATATTGCTGATAACATGCCAATAATCAGTGATTTTCTGGCTGTGGTATGGGCAGGATTCAAACGTCAATATTCTGACAATAAAGCAAAATCTTATCATTTTGCCTACTGAGAGCCCAGTTAGCAACCAGCCACTTTATCACAGCAAGGCAAGCTGTACTGGTAAATTTGAACACAAAACACCGTCATGGTGAGCAAAACAAAAACATCTGAAATGCCCCCAGTCCTATGCATTAGCATGGAGATAACATCTTGTAACACGCACACAAAAAAAAACATTTCCTTGAAGAGAACTTAAGAAAAATAAGAAAATAAGAGGTAGTTAAGAGAAACTGAAGCCTCAAAGACTTCTGGGTAACCCTGCCCTCAAGTGATACAAAAACAGATTAACCTGTGATAAAATCTCCCTCACTACAAATGAAAGATAAAACATATTCATGACAGTTAAATCTTTCTTTACTTTCTTATTTCAGCATTTTCCTCTGTATATCTGCCATGTTTTATAAAGCATTCTGCTTCTTTAACAAGAAATATTCTGTATTTATCAGTGAGGCTAGCTGGCCACTGTTAATTAGCATTAGCTAACTCAGCTAGCTGGCTTTCATACACTTGAACTGCTTTCATGTCTAGTTTATGGGTGAAACATTAACATTTCTGAGAAAGTGTAGCTCATGCTGACACTGATTAATGTAGTTAATTTTGCTCTAAAAGTCACAGGAAAGAATAAGGAATCTAAAAATAGCTAATGTCATGCTAGCTTGTTTGCTAACTTAATTTATGCTGTTTTATTTATTCTAACTTACTTAACTAACTATTCTAACAGCTAATGTTCAATACTGTAGCCACATGTCTAAGTTCATATTACACCTAACACTTTCATTTAGTTACAATGTTATTAACAACACATTTGAATTTATAATCATGGTGAAAAAGAGGCCAGTTACTCTCTCTCGTGATGGAGGAGCAGTTTTCTCCTCTAATCTTATTTGGCTGGTATACTCTCTGCAGCAGCTGTAAGCAGTGGAGTGACAGATATACTTTTCCCAGGAACTAACAAGAGCTTAGAAATATAGAAAAGCTACTGTGAAATGCAGAAACAGAAAATTTCAGTTTTAATTATGCTGAGGAATAGCCTATTAAAAATAGATTTTACAGAATATTGTTATTCACTATCTTCCTTCTTTTGCTATGTTATCTTTGTATACTGAGATGGTTTGAATGTATTGCATTTATGTTTTGTTTCAGACCTGTCAGATATACTGTTCTGATGATACATTTATATGATTCTATTTGCACAATTATAAAAAAAATCCAGAACTGAACATCACAGCACAAATATGAACATTAAATAAAATCGGAAATGGGAGTGAGTAGATGGTTAAGATGTAATCAGAGTCATTCAGAGTGGTTTCATGTGAAATGCTCCATTCTAGAAAAACTTACAGAGTCAGAATTGTTCACAGCAATGATGATAGAAGCCAGACGTCCCAAGTGTTTAATTATTCTGCATGGTACCTCAGCATGTTTTTGTTTTATGAGAGTTTTGAGAAAGTTCTGGCCTAAAATGTGTGGGTTTTTAAAAATATATATTTATGGTGGAGGAGTACATGCAGAGTGTTATAAGGCAAAATAGTCCCCAAAGAAAAAAAAATTCAGATCTACCACTATTTTGCCATTTATCAACATTACATATAAAGCTCACATGTAAGACACGTTCACTGGTGGTTTTGAGTAGTAAATAATATGGCTAATAATAAAAGTGCCACTTTCAAATAAGAATACACTCTTAAAATATGGTACTTCGAGAGTTCTTTAGTAAAGAAAGTGTTTCTATAGAGAAGCATGAACACTCAAAGAACCTGCATTAAAGGGTTCTTTGCATGAAGAAATGG